ACACCCTACAAAACACCATTTCTACCAGCTCAACAATCCTGAACCCACACACACACACAGGCATTTTAACATGGTTTCATAAAACTCAGACTAAGCTAAAGCTGGCTACTTACAGGCTCTCAGCCTGTTGATAAAGCATCTGTTTCACCAACCTCTTGAAGAAAGTTCCAAAAGAGCACCCTTATCTCTTTGAGGCTGTATTACCAAACCAAGCCTAGCCTAGATCCTGGAGAACAGAAAACTTCTTGGTAATTGTTAAACAAGACAATTGATAGAGTCACACTGGAAGGGACAACCTTGAAGCAGCAACATGCTATATATATGCTAAGAAGGTGATTTGCTGTTGCAAGACACCCCATAAAATTGTCAAGTAATCCACTTTGTGCCAGCAAAACAATAATTGACTGTATGTCCCAAAACGCAGCCACAAGCAGATTTGACTTTTCTGATCTTAAGGGGATCCCAGTGCCACGAACCCAAGATGGTAAAAGAGACCATTCCTGATAAACATGCACAGAATGTGTCCAAAGATAATTAGTAATAATAGCTTTCTCAAGAGCAAGTTTCCTTTTTTTATGGTCACTCTATTTGTTAGAATTTTCACTTTTTAAAATTTTCATTTTCTAAAAGTCTAGAATATGAAAAAGTTCCTTTACTCTTACTTAGCTATAGAATGTAAAATAAATAGAATATAATCTTCCATAGCTCCCAATCTCTCAAGTATCTCTGAAAAGGAATAAAAGGAAGGATAGAATTTTATGGGGACAGAATAGCAAAGGTAATCAAAGTTATGTATCTACAATTAGGTATCTAAAATTTAACAGAAACATTCAATAATCCTTGCTGGGTGCAAACATTTTAAAACATTGAAAAAATCAGAGCCATTTCTAAATAAATTAAAGCAGAAAAAACCAAGCCATTTAGAAACTAAGAATATACTTCTCGTACTTGCCAGCAAGAGAGGGCAAAGAGAATTGTCTGGCCTTTTCATAAGGGGATCACAGTAGAGCCAACAGATACATTTGTCTCCAAGAGAGACATAAAAATAAAAAAAACAAGAAAACAGAGAGAAGTCTGATCTATTGTGCAGCTTATACAGGATTTCTATAAAACCTGCACTGATTCACACTTTAAAACACAGAGCTAAATGGAAAGATAAGCAGGGATCAGTAAAGACAGAACTGCAGGAAGTTTAGAGCTAGATACCTGAAGGTGCTTTTGAACATACAGCATATACCACCAATCTGTGAGAATTACCTTCCTTACAATATAGGATTTGTTACTCGATAAAGCCCACTGTTACAAGTGGAAATGGGTAACACCTTAGTCCCTTTGATGTAAGTCATAAGAGAAGACAACACTATGTCCATGGATCCACTGGCTGCCATAACTACCAAGAAATACACAAAAAACATCACTGCAAAAGCTTATTAAACAAGATTCTTAACCTGGCTTTTCACCTTTCAGGATCTGCAACCCTTGATGGATGTATTATTTGTGTTGTACTGTAATGCAGAACTGAAACACCTGCCTTCCACATGATTAATTTAACAAATAAGTCAACAAACTGACAGACTCTGAAACAGGACACGGCAGCACGCAATAGCCAAAGTGTTGAGGCTCTCTAGTATGTCAAGTTATTGTCTACAAACTTAAAGGGTAATCAGAACAAGACAGCCATAGAAACATGATGGTACTCAGCAGTAACAGATTATTGACTAGTTCTACTCTTATAAGAGCCATACGGCACACTGCCTTCTTCAAGCTTATTTAATAAACTATCACTTTCATTATAATACAAGACCATCTACCAACCAAAAATTACTTCAGTCTGCATTTTCCCCTGTCCAACTGCATGGGATTTTTTTAATCCAACAGATGAACTCATTTGAACTCATTTGAGCATATGTCTACTCAAAATGCTTTAGAACTGAAGGTTTGTGCTTCTTCAGAACATTATTAATTACCTCAGAAGGACTTGCTAAATTTCATTTGCAAATAGCTAGATACCATATGGGAGACAACTACAAACTATTTCTGCCTCCTGACACATCAATGGATTTTAAAATCTATTCAACCTTGCCACAGGTAGAACTTGTAATGTTTTCACAAGCAGCTACATTTACAATCTTGGATATTTTCTGAAGTCTACATTACATTCTAGTAGATCAGACCAACTGCAATTAACAAACATCAAAAACACTGAAATCTGCATGGAAATCAGAAGGTTCAAAAATGTGATTTTTAGAACACATGAGAATTACTGAGAATTATACACAGCACTTAAAGCAAACCTAGGTACCTAAGGCAAATCAGTATGCATCTATTATGCTATACTCCAGCTTCTTTTTATAAAGGCACCAGAAATAAAAAACTAACCCTCAGGTATCCCTATAAAACAAATTATATATTTAATTAGTACTACAAGATTAACATACACTCATACTCTAGGATAAACCATCTCTAGATTTACATTAGCCATCCTAAAGGAAATGAAAAGATATTCCAGATTCTAAACTGGAGAGATTTCCTTTATAGGAGATCACTTAACTAAGACTTCATGAACAGTATTTTTGAGCTGCATCAAATAAATAATATGAATATGAAGACCAGATAAGAGGAACAGAAACAAAAGAATGCTACTATAATATTCATATACAGCATCTACACCAAACTGTATCTGAGCAGACAGATGGTAGATAAAGTTTGTAAGTAGGCTCCACATTTGATTCCCTTGCTATTAATAGAAGCCTAGGCTGTAGTGGCCAAGGTTATATCAGGCTAGACACACTCCAGTTTCCTAAGTCCACCATGAAGGCCTCCTAACTTTGACATGCAAAGCATTACCTTTGTAATCATGCAGCTGATTTGTATACACAAAGTAAAAACACTATCTAAACATGCTGCATTGTAGCAATTCAAGTCACAGGTAAAACTCTGTGTGTTTGCACACAATAATGTTTTTTACATTGGTTAAAGTTTATTTTACTTTGTCTTGCACAGCAAACAAAGTTTCTAGTTCACTTCATTGCAATGGCTTAACATCAGTTCTTGTCTATGTAAGTAGGAGTGACCTTATGTTAAATGCAGACACTCCATATGCTGCCATGTATTGCCCTCCAAGAGGACTGGAAAATCTACTGCACAATCCCAAGTGTAGTTTCTGCACAAATATTATTTATTTGTTCAGCAATTCTTTAGCTTTAGTGACCAAAACTCCTGAAGGGACCTACCTCACAAACAAGACAATTTACTCTCAAATTCTACCATTAAAAGTAATAAGTAGAGTACATAGAAATGAGATTGTTACTCCCTTGGGGTTTGCATCTGCTTACATTGCAAATTTAACAGCATTTTTTATTTCTTCTTTATTAAACCAGATTTCCTCAAGAAAACTGTTCAAAATAAGAAAAGATAACTGTGAAAGCTGTACAGTCTGGGATGAGCGCAGCATCACAAGTCATTTCAATATTCACCCTAAAGTAGTTCAATTTGTGTGTGCTCTGTTAAAATCCTGCCACTAAGAGGAGCCCTAAGTCTGTTCCACAATGAACAGTGGAAGAAGTAGTATTAATTTTTTTCCTATTTCTCAAGATCAATGGAAACTCTTACTTCAGTGATGCTGAGGAAAGCAGAATCACCACAAGTTGAAGAAGAACCGATAAAGAAAGAATCACTTCAGCAGTAGCAACTTGAAACCACTAAAGATTACTGAAAACAAAAGGAGGAAAAAAATTCTGACATTGGAGTAAGTCTATCAATAAGAAAAGAGTCCACCAAAAAAGAATGAATAAATGAAGGCAGATTGCAAGAGAAAGAAAAGGTGAGAAAAGCATAAGAAACAAAAACTGAAGCCATGTCAAGGCTGCAGCAGAGCAATGATTACAGACCTAAAGAATCGGAGTCAAGGCAACAACATTCAAGAAACAGAAAAAGCAGAATTAATGAAATCTCCAAGTAGGAATGCAAAAAGAGAAGGAATCTTAAGAAGCTGAGTGAATGATACAGAGTTACAGCTGTAAATCTGAAAAAATAAGAAACTAACCAAAGAAAATGTTTTAAAATTTCTCTATGTTCCTAGTGTTTTCTGCTAGGTATGCCACAACTTAGACTTCAACAGCACATCATCTCATCCAGGCTAAGACAGTCAAGACAGACTATTCCAGAAGGTTTGTCAAAAGAGAAACCTCATTCAAGCACTCCAAACTGTCATCTAGTGGAGCCTTTAGCCAGCTGGTGAATCAACAGGAACACAAGGAGCTCCAGAAGACATTCAGTTGCAAATCCTGAAGTTTACTGGCCAGATATCACCTTTATCCAGTAACTGGTTGACTGATCTTTCCTTTCACCATAGAGTACATACGAGAACAAAGGAGGGTTTAATGAGGTACCCGACTCCTCTTCTTCTGACCAGGCACTTCAGTCTTGTCTCTAGTAGGTCAGAATACAAAAGACCTTTGACTTCCAAAAAACCCTGCCCTGTTGTATTCATCCAAGCGCTACCACATTCCTTGATTTAAATCTAAGGTAGCAAAATGAACTGCAGACAGGGAAATCACACAAAAATGCGTCCCTCTTATTCAATCTGTTCACTTTGGCTTATCTGCTCACACGCTGTCCCAAAGTATTTTGACTTCACGGCTAGCTGTGTTAGGCCAAGGCTGCTAGCTGGAAGCTGACAGGTACTGCCTCCCATGCACTCTGCCTTATCAACTTCCCTGAGGGCTGGCACTCGGTGCAAGGGCAATAAGATTCGCATGAGCGTCCTAAAAAAAAGGCACACCCACATCAACAAAGCCACCTTGCCGAACCCCGGCGGACTCGTCGCTCAGCCCGTGGTCCGAGCCGCAGCCAGGGATGGAGGCAGGCGGCCCAGGAGGCGGCAGGGGCCTCACTTACTGCCCTCTCTCCCGGCACGGCCCGGGCACAGCTCAGCCGCCCGCGGGGCCGCCCCCGCCGGCAGGTGCCCGCCCGCCCCGCCGCGGCCGCCCCGCGCTCACCCGGCCTCCCGCATGACGTTGCTGTCGCCGCAGTCGCAGGCGCCCCCCGCCTGGCTCCGGAACATGTTGTAGTCGTGCCCGGCGTGCTCGCCCTGGTGGAAGCACTCGGCGCACAGGCTCATGCAAGGCGAGATCCCGCACGTCCGGCACCGGTAGGCCACGAAGTTGGCGGTCCAAACCAGGCCGCATAGCGTGGCGGGGTCGTAGGCCCGCACGGCTTGCACGAAGCTGTCCCAGGGCTCCCCGCCCGACAGCAGGCAACGGCACCACTCCAGCGCCTCGCCCGCCGCCTCGCCACCGCCAGGGCCCGCCGCCGGGGCCAGCACCCGCTCCAGCAGCGCCCGCAGCTCCGCCGCCGCCGCCGCGCCGCTCTCGCCGCCCAGCGCCGCCTTCAGCCGCGCCGCCGTGGCCCGCTTGTCCCTGCTGCTGGCGCCGGCCCCCGCCATGACGGGACACCGAGGGGCCGTTACGGCCGCGCCGGGCTCTGGATCCGCGATCCCTCCGCCGCCCTCGCTCCCCGCCCCGCGGCGCCGCCCTCTCGCGATAGCCGCGGCACCGGCGCCCTGCCCGCCGCCCGCGCCCCCCTCCCGACACCGCCTCTCCCCTCCCCTGACACCACCCTCCTCTTCCTCCGCCCCTGCCCTCCTGCCGCCCTCCCAGCGCGCAGGTGCGCGCCCCGCGCCGCCGCCACACGGAATGTCGCCGCCCGCCGGCCCGAAACTTCACGTTCCCGGCGTCTCGGCAGCCGCGGGGAGCGTGGAGGCTACACCTGGGCCGCCGGCGGCCCCGACGGCAGCGGAGCTCGTTTGTTACCGAGCCGTGCCTGCAGCGAAGCGGCTGCCGTGAGACACCCTGCGGCCGCCCGTGTACCCTGGCTACAAGGGTCCCGCCGGCCTCAGGTGGTGGCGGCTTTGGGGGCAGGAGCAACTGCGGGGAATGTGGGAAGCACCTCTGAGGCTTCGGGCCGGCGGTTCTGCCCTCGCTGCCATCAATTGGCCCCGTTGGGGTTGCAGAGCAGGCCGGGCTCCGGCGGCAGCACTGCACCCCGGGGTGTCCGCAGAGCCGAGGTACCAGCGTGCGGCCCCCTGTGCCCTGCTACCAGGAGAGAACGTGTGGGGATGCGAGTTACCGTGTTTCGCACACCGATCGGCGGTTTTAAACCTCCATAGATAGATTTTTAACTGTGCAATGGAAAGCTTTATACAAAAAACATCTATTCCTAAATGAGAGTAACCCTACGGGCCTCAAGGCAGCTGCCTCCCTTCTGGCTTCGCCTGCGTTTCCTATGGCTGCCCGTCTGCTGGCGGCTTGTGTCGCGTTGCGGTTCCAGGTGAATGCTACTCTTCACGGCCGCTTTTCCCAGCGCACCGGCAAAATTCCAGTTCCGTGTTCTGTCCCTAAAGGTACTCAGGAGCGGGACCACCGAGAAAGCCCGGTCTGCCAGGTGTGTCCTCCGGCCCTTTCTCAGGCACCGCTCAGCCGTGACACGTAAGGCAGCAATAAAACGTCTCGTGTTTATAATACGCGAGATCAAAGCTCGCAGTCCTTAACGACACGCGGGAAGTTCCCTGGCGTTTCGTTCCCGCAGGTGCCCGCCGGCCCGGGAAGGGGCGGGGCGCTGCACGCCGGGGGCGGGCGGTGCGTCGGAAGTGCGCGGCGGCGCTCGGAGCGGCCCGGCCCGGCCCGGCCGCGCTGCGGTGAGTGGGCGCGATATCGAGCGAGGGCCGGCCGAGCGGGGACGGTGCAGGTGGTGGCGGTCGCTGGGGCTCAGCTCCTGCCCCGCTTAGGGCTGGGCGGGCCCGGGCGGTAGAGAAGCGGAGCCCAGGACCTGAGCTCCGGGAGCCGGTGAGGAGTGGGGCTGCCGCCGCCCGGGTCCGCCCTCGTTCCCCACCATCGGTGCGCCGCCGGCTGCGTCCCGGGGAACGGCAGCGTGAAAACACCCGGGAGATGCTGAAGAGTACCAGGGGATCTTAAGTGTGAAATAATTTAAGATCATACGTAGTTTATTTATATTGTTGTAACTAATTACACGATATTTTATTTAGATAAAACATAAACATGAAGAAATTAAAGCTTAAAGAACTGGAAAGCTGTCTTCAACAAGTTGATACTTTTGAAAGTCCAAAACTACTCCTTGAACAGTATCCAACAAGACCTCATATTGCAGGTAGGTGACCCACACCAGTGTTTTCTCTTTTACTAGTTCATCAGCACATTTAATTTAAAAAGTTTTTTCTACTGCATTGTCTCCTTTGAAAGCTTTATACTAAAAGTAGTTAAGAAAGTATATCCAGCAGGAATGTGTACAGTAGTATTCTGGTAATATCTGTCTTTGTTTGAAAAATGCAACCTAAGACAATGTTCAATCCAAAAACCAAATGAATTAATCTAATAGATAATATTGTGATAGAAGCAATCTTAATCTATAACTGTAGAAGCTGAAATGGAGTTGTCATGACCCACAAAACCAGTACAAGTGTATATACAGACAATCATCTATACCTTAATTATGCTCTTTTCCATGTTTTCTATCCTTCTGTTGTTTTTCCCAAAAAAATACATTTTCCACAAGCAATACTCAGAGCTCTATCTCTCCACCAAAGATCCACAGTTTGTAACTCTCAAAATGTTTTTGACTCTTCACATATAAATGATAAAGAGAATTACAGGCAGTGAGAACATCAGTTTAAGTAGAGTTTTCTAATGCAAAATTAAGAGTTTTCTGAAGGCAGAAACAGCTTTTCTTGATTAATCGTGTACATATTTGGTATTATTGACCTGTTTTGTTTGGGTTTTTTTCCCCCAGCATGTATGCTTTACACAATTCACAATACTTTTGATGATATTGAAAACAAAACAATTGCAGATTTAGGATGCGGTTGTGGCATGCTCAGCATTGGAAGTGCAATGTTAGGAGCAGGGTAAGTATTTAATACTAAGTTCTGGTTATATTTCTTTCTGGCATAGAAGAGTAGAAAGTAAGATTAAAACATAGCAATGCTGAACTAAAACATTTCAGATTTATAATCTGTTGCATAATCAGACTATTTACCAAGTTTTGACCATCAATAGCCATTCATACAGTGAAAGTGATGGACAGCTGTCATGAATTTGGAAGTAATTTTCTTTCCCCATAAGCATTGAATGAAAACATGAAACTTCGTTAACAAAATTTAGATTTATATTTGAGAAAGGGCAACAGAAGTACTTGAATTTTTATCAGCACTGAATTTGTTATGTATGCTTGTTACATTTCCTAGGTAAAACAAGTTGTGTGCACAGATCCCTTACTGTAGAATTTAAACACCATTTTAGTTTGTAGTAGACTAACATGTGACACTTTTCTTAATAGATTCTGTGTGGGGCTTGACATAGATGCAGATGCACTGGAAATATTTAATAGCAATCTTGAAGACTTTGAGCTCACGAATGTCAACATGGTTCAGTGTGACATCTGTTCTTTATCTGAGAACATGTCAGATACTTTTGACACAGTTATTATGAACCCTCCGTTTGGTACCAAGCATAACAAAGGTAATTGTGAAGCTCAGTTAGAAATTATCACAAATGAAACAGCAAGGGAAATGCTTTCAATGAAGCATCTCCCTTCTTTATGATGTATTCTAATTTCTTAATGTTTTGTTTGTCTGGAATCATCGTCCCAAGATTAGCAACTTCAACATTGCAACTAACAGTCACTGGGGTTTGAAATAAACAATACCAGATATTTCATATCCCTATCATTTTTATTTTATTAAAAGCAATTGAGTATGTTTTAGAAATACTTTCTGTACCTTAATGTACTCAAGTAGCTATTATCCCAGAAAAAAATTAAGCAGATCTTTGCACTTCCATTTAAAATTTCTAATAATTTCATTATTCTTTTAGGAATTGATATGATTTTTCTGAAAACTGCTCTACAAATGGCAAAAACAGCTGTATATTCCCTTCACAAAACTTCAACACGACAGGTACGTTCTTCATTTTAGTAGAGCAAGAACTAACCAGACAACAAAATATTTGGCTATATAGATGTCTATAGCTTCACTGATCTGTAAACTACTTTGTGGGGTATGTTTGGGATAAATACTAATTACATCAAATAACTGCAATCTCACATATATCAAGATAATTATGTGAACTAATGCTTTGGTTTGAAAACCAAAAGCACAGGAGACTTTTTAACTATAGAAGTGTAGATGTTTATAAACCAGCTAATTTTGAAAGCTCATTTCTACTCTATCTATTATTGTAGCACATTGAAAAGAAAGCAGCAGAATGGGAAGTGAAGATGGAAGTCTTAGCAGGTAATACTTATTCATTTTTACAGAAAAAAAACCAAAAAACTTTTGGTTTTGTACATTATCTCTAACACTACCAGCCAGTCATAACAGCCTAAGATAAATTTAAGTGTGATTTAACACAGAAATGACACAGGTCTTTCTCTTTCTAGCAGACTTTTTAAATTCTTTGTTTAAATACTTTGCTACCTGTCTAGAATACAAGCACACACTTAATAAAGCTCTGAGAAATACATATTCTGTGCAAAATTAGGTTTGTTCCTGGACTAGATTTTGTCTTCAAGCAGAAGTTACCTCTCTTCCTGCTTCAAAGGGCATGTTGCTGAAAAAGAAAAGCAAATCACAGGTCAGTTTTCACACACAAGAAAATCATCCTGCCCTTAGCCACGTAAATATTTTTGCCAGTTAGTGTCTTCCCAGTTCTTCTGCTAACCAGATGCTTTTTATAGTCATAACTTGAGATGTGAAGTTGCACAAGTGAAACACAACTGCCATCCACTTAACTGCCTGATGTGGACAGCTTCAATGTTTAGTCATGATGTAGTGCAGATAAAAGAGATATGGCAGGCCACAACAGACGCAGACATTAGAAACAGAAGTCCATGACTGTAGGACTTAACTGACTGATTATCATCCTTGTCTAACACATATTCTTTGTACTGTTCACAGAACTTAGGTTTGACTTACCAGCATCATACAAGTTCCATAAGAAGAAATCAGTAAGTATAAAACCTAACATAATTGAGAAAATGCTGAGGTAAATAAATTCTCCTTACTGAAATTTAAGTTTTAGGACCGTATGTACTGGATGAAGAATGGTCATAGCATTCAGTCACATCACTGCTGTTATTCCATTTTGTAGCTGAACAGGGAAAAGCATCATGATAATGCCAGTCAAAGCTATACACAAAGATTAAAGCCAGCACTGCAATCAGATGTGGTAAAGCTAAGGGTAGCCTCCTTGACTAATAGCTCTTTGCTCAATCCTATCTGCAGCTCGGACCCGAGTGACTGCAGTGCTGAAGGCCACAGTAACTAGGATGTTACAGCAGTAGCGTCATTTCAGAGCCTCCTGGGGGCAGCAGGAGGAACTCATGCTCACTGTGAAAATTGAGTCAAGACACTACAGTATGGCAGCCTAAGCCCACAGCAAGCTCCTTGCTATTCAGTGCTGGCTTGGAAGACATGGATCCCCATCCCTTACCATAAGGAGAGTAGAGAGGAGAGTGAGCAATAGTTGAACACTGTTAAGTATGTTGAGCAGCAAAGAACAGAAGCTTTAATCAGCTGCTGATTATGCTCTTGATGACTTGAACTTAAATATATTTAAGTCTGTCCTTATCTTTGCTAGTTCACAGTTGAAACATTATACTATATTAACCAGGCTTCAGCAGAAAGTTTTAAGTTCTGAATTTATTGCCAGCTGCTATTAAACATAACCACAAGATTACAAAGTCCAAAACCTTTTACATTTGAATGACATGCCAGAAAAATTGACAGTATAAACAAAACTATAAATAGAAAAGTTTTCCAGGGTTTTATGTTAGCAGTAAGCATGCTTCTTAAACAAAAAAAGCTGTAACCCAATAAAATGAAACTTTTCTCTAATTGTAGGTTGACATTGAAGTGGATTTCATTAGATTTTCTGCCAAAAAGTCCTGAATTGAGGCAGGTATTTAAAATCTACTGAAAATGGAACAATAAAACCACTAATTTTTTAAATTCTTTTATTTGAGTATTACTGATTGCCATCTCCATTTTCTGTTTTCAGTTGTTTTGGTGCAGGTTCTTCCTTTTCTGTTTCCTCTAGTGGTCTCTTCTTGGGACTTGATGGTTCTGCAAGATTGAATATGTAGTCATTTAGAGTAAAGGAAAGCTTTGCCTGAAATCTGAAAAAACCCAAACTCTTCCCACCATCTAAGTTTGAGTCCCAGTTACCTACAGCCACAGCTACACTAGAGGGTTGGCTTATTACAGTGACTAAAGGTTTTAGATGTTCTAAAATGCCCCATTTGAAGAGCTTCACCCCTGTCTAACTCCACAGCAGGAGGGCAGGTAAGAAAATGAAGGAATAGAATCTACCAGGAGTAGGGTTTAGTTAAGCAGGTGCTATAAGTAATGAACAGGAGCTTAGCTCTTCTTCTGCTCCAAGCTAAATACTGACAGGCCAAACTATTAAATGTTCTCATATCCTTAAAGGAAAAAAAAAGCACCACTCAAGAGACTGAGTCTGTACAGTTGTGTAATGCTGCTGACAATCACCATGTTTCAATGCATGGTTTTACACAACCATGCAGTATAGCCTTATCTATATACTATTATAGAGATAATTACTATCTAGATAGTAATTATTTTTAATATGCTTTTTGGACAGTTGTGGAAGGAATTGAGCACAAGACTCTTAAGGCAGATACTGTCAGGAGGGCAGAAATGCTACAAAGCAGAGCCAAATCTGAAATGCTTGTAAGAAACACAAGTATGTGGAGCTACTTTCTGTAAAAGTACTGAATAAGCTGCACCAAGTGCACAGAATGACATACCTGTTTTAATATCATTTTCACCATCTTCTTCGTCATTCTCAAACTTTATTTTCTTGCCCTGAAACTGTATTTTCCCTTTTTGTGCACCCTGAGGTATCTTTCCCCCTCTTCCTTTTCCTTTCATTTTGCGTCCTGTGGAGATACAAGATCAGCAACTTTGTATAATTTGTCTTTTAATTGGCCAGCTGCAGAGATTGTTTACGGTTAAGGTCAGTATGTAGTATATATCAACTACTTAAGAGTGAATTTCATCCACCAATTCTAGGGCGGTATAAAGGTTTAAATTAATAAGAGGAGGGAGAACCTTTTGTTTTCTGTTTCAGCAATTCCTGCTGATCTTCCAGGATTTTTTTCAGAGCTTCTTTCTCTGCATCTCCTTCTAGCACTTCCCATGAAACATCCTTGTTCCGGAGCTGCAAGTTTCCATTATGTGCTGCTTTGGCTTTTTCCAGAGCTTCTTTGGCAATATCCTTAAATAGGATAATTCCCTTTAAAAGAAGAGTGGCATTGCATTAATTTTACTGCAAAAACATTCAGCTAGATGACGAACAATATATCCTCAGCAAATTCATTACTCTTGTGTGATTGTAAAACATGTCTGGACTGAAGCAAAGCCCTCAGACTGTGCTAATGAACATTCTTAGTTTTGACCTTATCAACTAACAAGGCTGGAACCTCTATCTGTTCTTCTGAAAGAAGTTAAGGAAAAAAATTAATTCTCTAAATATTCTGCAATTTCACAAGACAATAACTTATTGATAACATAAAAGAACAAATATTTAATCATTCATTTTCAAACTTCAATACCAAAATCCTTGTCTAAGATTACTGACCTCCTTTGCACCTCTGACAAAGTGTATCCACTTGATTTCTCCGTGACCAGAAAATACCTCATGGAGGTCTTCTCTGCACGTTTGGTCATCTAGATCACCAGAAAACTTCAGAAGACATCCTGTCTTTTCTTCCAGAGACTTCTAAATAAAATTAAAAACCGCCACATTATCACTGAACAGTCAAGTGTGAACATTCATATTTCCCCCTCAATCCTATTAAACATGACAGCAATGAAGAAGCAGTTGAAGTTACAGTAATTTGAGCATTTTTCCTACATAACCTAGTTCTGCTGATGTCCAAGTCTTGTACAGTGTGTGTCCCCTCCTTTGAGTTTTCTTTTCTTACTGTGATACACTTATATGGAACTTGGCACTCCTTTCCCATATTAATTGTACTCTTTAAATTTTACACAACAGCTTTCTGAAGGCTGGTAAGTTGAAAATGTATATAGTACTGATGAAATCCTTAATGGATCCTTTGAACATCATAGAAGAACCATCATCTCCATGTTGCATAATGTAAACAGGACATGAGCCTTCAAACAAAATTAGGCTATTGAAAATAATATTAAAACACCATGACAAAAGACTCTTACTGTAAATTAGTTGGAAAAGATGAAGTGACTTTCTAGAAAGTGCTCTATATTACAGCATTTTGAACAGAATATTCCATGTTAGCTTTATAAAATGTAGGTGATTTAAGAAACCCGTACCATTTCAGCATCTGCTGCTTGTTTCTGCTTTTCTTCTTTTTCTCTGCAAAAAAGTTAAATTAGTTCTGAGTCAGGTCAAGCATGGTCAGGCAAGCAAGACACACACTTTGATTGGCAATGACTCACTGTTTAGCTCTTGCTTTTGCTTCTACTTTGTTTTGTTTCCTTTCTTCATTCTTCTTTGTACAATATTCCTCCCTGCAAGAGAATATAGGTTAATTTAAAATATTCTGTTAAAACAGATGCGAAGCAGTTATTTTTCCAAGCTGAGATGCTAAGTCTCAGTCGCCAAAAGGTGCATCTATCGATGCCATGAAAAACTCACTTCTCAGGCCAAGCCTGGTTCTTGTGTAAATCCACCCCTGACCACTGTTAGTTCATGTATCAGTTAAGTGGACTTACTTGAAAAGTACTATCAGCTCTGTGTCTTTGTACTTTTGATTTGGTATCTCTGTGAACTTCTTAGCAGATTCAACACTATCAAAAACTGCAAATATTGAGCCCTGTTAAATGATAAGAGAGATTGTTAGACTAATTGAACAGAATGTTGTCCAGGAGGGATCCCTGCCCCAGGTTTAAATGCCCATCATTACCTTAAACGTTCTCTGCAATGTTCTCCTCATTTGAATATTTTCAACTGGACCTTTATCCTCAAGCCATTCTTTGATATCATCAAGAGTAGCATCTAGTGGAAAGCCTTTCTGCAAGGTAGCAATGCGCCTCAATTGTATGCCACAAAGTGACTCTTAAAAACTGTAACCTCTATAGTACAAGTTAATTCAAGCTTTACTCTCAGACGGTTTTCAGTTAAAGTCATGCAGGACAGCACAAAATAAAGAAAAAATTACTTACAACGTATACAGATCTGTTTTTAATTGCAGCCTTATACTGGTCATTTAATTCAGGAAGGGGTTTATTTGGAGATCTTCTGATTTTAGTTTTGTCTTCATTTATTTCCATTAAACCCGTCTTGGATTTTCTTAGTGCTTCTACAATAACACCAAAATCTTTTGAAAGGCGACTTAACCTATTGAGCAAGCAGACAGAGGTTATTACAAATACACAGGCAAAACTGAAGCCAGATGTTAAAAAAGCGATGGGAAATGTAAATGCACATCAGGAACACTTGGCCCCAAACAGAGATTACTCTTTTATCCACATTAGTTGTACTTTGCTTTACCTGTTGAATTTGATCATTACTTCTAAAGGTACCCAGCCATCATCTAGTTTGATCTGTTCCTTTAGAAACTTGTCTCTTGGTAGATTGTGATTGCCAAAATAGTACTGCAAAAAGGAAGGGGGAAGGGGAGGAAAGAGATGTGTCTTTAAATTTTCAGTCTTAAAAGCTCATTTTCATCTATCAGCTTACTGCAGTAGATTGAGACATACCAAAATTAATTAATTAATCTGAACAGTTGGGAATTCTGCAATTATTACTTCCTGCTTTACTGTGATACTTTGTAAAAAGTTAGCTGCAATGTGTGAGCTGTAAAAACAAAAATCACCAGAAAAAAAATCACACAAAAACACAAACAAACCAACCCTACACTGAAACAGTGCTTCATCCAGTGGAATTAATATGGCAAAGACAGATTGCAGTTTTGTTTAGGAAAGGAGCAAAGCTTATTCTGTTAACATGATAAGCATTTATCACCGTGATCAAGCTTTGCAGAGTCAAAAGTTAAATTTGTCACCAGCAGATCCAGGTTCTACTCCTTATTTAAGGAGTATGTATGCAAGAATATTGTATTTGCACACTGAAAAATCATACACACAGACTGGAATGTCTAGGTCTCATTCAAGAAAACACTGTAAGATAAAGAAATCATTATTTATATTTAATTTTTGATTTTAATTATTATGTTCTTATTTCGATCTTGTCTGGCATGGGAAGACAATTCACTTCAAGACAGACAAGTTAATCTGATTCTTTCCCTGCAGTCATCTAGCAAAGGTCAAATACTGGAAACCTTAAGGTAAGCTGGAATATTTTCACCAATATCATGGTGCCTTGAAAAGTCAGTGCAAGTTTTATAACCCTACCTCTTCCTCTAGTACATCTCAAACTCACATTACCAGAAGTCTAGTCTTGTCAACTTTGTCAACTATTTATGTATAACAAACCAAAAAAACAGAGGTTGAGGAATCTCCACATTTTGTTTGTGTGTTATATATAAATAATGGCTCCATATGGTAATGGGCATTCACATGCAGCTACATTTTTGTCCTTCAGAAAGTGGTTTTGTTCTACATGCCATTTAAAGCAATGGGCTCAGCTTTCTTGTTGTAGAGTAACCCTCCAAGGCTCTAGAGACAGAGAGTTAATCCAAAGTGGGCATATAAGTTTTAGTTGTAATTTTAGCAATAAATTGCAAAGCAGTAAATCATAGTAGCAAGTTATGCAATGTGCTACTATTTTGACCAGCAGAGATTCCCAAGGAGAATTTTTTCCCCACAAAAATTAAAGCACATTGAATTAAAATGCACTCTCCTTCTATTTGCACAGGTAGAAGAACCCCAGCAAACATGGTAGTAAATTGTTTAATGATTCACTTGCTATAGCACCTAAAATGCTAGCAGATTAAACCATTTCTGTTTTGAAATGGTGTTCTTACAAGCAACTCTATAGACAAGTATAGCTTCCAACTTAAACTACAATTATGATCCTAAAGTATTAAATACCTGTTACAGAGAGCTGGAGATTCGAGTCTAACTCCCAATAAAGTTAACTTCCACTTAGCCAATCCCCTGCCAATGAATGCCTCCAAAACACCTCAGTCCAGACTCCAAACTATAAACTGAACTCACCTCAATTTGCTGACAGATTTTGCTTTCCAAGATAGACATGTTTTCACCATTTCCATTTTCAGCCATTTTCGCCAACTGTTTTGAAGAGAATACAGAGCAAAAGCACTAAGTTTTGAATAGTATTTTCTACAGACTGACATTCTTGTATCATTGCCTCATCTAAATAAGGTAACAGCCAAGTTCATTAGCCATACATTTATGTCTGTGAAGCAACTATTAACATCACTGCAAAACTCCAAGGGGAAACTATGAAACAACGGGGGAAAAAAAAATCCCCTCACTTCAGGTTGTTAGGGCAGCTTCTGGCATTCAGCAGTCAAGATAAAATTCAGGAAATGCTGGCACTTCTCAGCCTTGTTATTTATCTTTTTCTAGGCACAGATCCTCAGTTTAGAACAACAACAACAAAACTGAGAGCCAACAACGTGTTTTTTAAGTCAAATCCAACCTCTCATCACTAGGCAAAATAATCATTAACAAAAATGTTCAATTCCTACATAGGCATAATGAGAAAGTGTTTCTGAAATTTCCGTCTCCTGTTTAAATCTTTGGGAAGTTCACAGAACTTACTGGAGGACAGAATGAAAATATCTGCAATTACTGACACATCCTAAAGATGTCGTGTTCTCTCCTTTACAAATGTGTCTTCATTGAAGTTCTGCTTGAATAGTGAATCAAGTATCTTTATGTTGTAAGACATTTTAACTCTGAAGTAACTTTACTTAGCTGGCAGTAAGTGTATAATCCCAGTACATCAGATGCAGTCGCTACAAAAGCAGCTACTGGCCAGAAACTTAAATGGGATCAAACATTTTCTATCTAGTTGCTTTTAAGATAAGGACAGAGTGTGAAGATTAATCCTTGAGAAAAAATGTAGCTTTATGAAGCTGTCAGAAATTAGTTTGAATTCAGTTTTGAACTATGAAGCAGAGATTTCTTCTTTCTCCCTTTGAGCACTAACACGCTTTTTAAATCCGGCTGCTGAAGATAAAGAGGTTTCTTGGTCGTATTACCCCAGTTCATAGATCTGTGAACAAAGGCTGCTGGCAAAGATGGTTTTGCACTCATGTCTTGCATGAGGTTTATTGGGAGATTTGACCATACACCTTCTGCCCTTCTGCTACTTGCAGGGCAGTAAGATCTTTCAAAGCATCTAGATGACTGGCAACACAGAGGCAGGGAAAACTCCCCTGAGGTGCCCCTGTTACAGGAAATTATGTTCTTTATCAGAATGCCCCATTGGCAGCCTCATCTTCTTATTTTAGTAGTTTAATTCCCCAATAACTGTTCAGCCTACTGCAGTCTGCAGTATTCCCATTTCCTCCTCTTCCTGATCTCAAAGCCACATTCAGTCCTTGGAACTTCTTGTAATTCTTCAGCACTTACAGCCTTGAAAGGTGCTGTGCTTGCGCCTGTACCTAACACTGTAGCACTCTCTGAAGCATGATTTCAGCAAGTGATTGTTGCCAGCTATGCTGAGTGTGATCCGTTTATCTGTAAAGCACTTGACAAAACCCAGGTCAGAGCACCCAAGCTGAGAGTTGCAGTTACTTCAGAGATGTCCCACATGAGCCACCCTGACTACAGCACACTAATGCTTCACCACCATTCAGGTGCTGGTACTGTCTTCACACCCTGCTTGTGAGAGAAATCAGTGCTCTATTTTACATTATACCAAATCTGATCTAATTTAATGGCAACCTATACAGCAGTCTCTGACTGCTGTCCCAGTCTGCCTCAGCCCAGGTACCAAAATACTCAAACCCAAAAACTCAATTTCCACATAAGGCTCAGCTTCACTGTTAAGAAGAGAAAAAAAAATCTACTTCCTTAGCAGTGTTTTCAAGGTTAATACCAAAAAGCATGATCCAACACAAGACTTAGGACAAGTCCTTTAAAATAAGTCTTACATATGGAAAAGTTTTTCTAAAAAGCATCCTTTTAGTAACAAACTTAGCAGTCTTAGTAGGGAAGACTAAGAAAGACTCAAACTTGCCATGCATGGAATTCAGTTCAGTGACTGAGCTCTAACCTATTTAGAAGAAAAGCAGAAGCAGCCTTCTAATTTAAGAGAAATTCTAGTCTTTGCACATGCTCACTTCAGACTGCAGCTCAGTCATTTGGCACAAGACAACTTCCAGATCAATAGTTTTCAGTTGCTGTGCAGCAGTGAAGACTGATAAAAAGCTCCAATGAACAGCAATCACAGTCTGAACTGCATGCAAAATCCTACAAAAGATTTTATTTTAAAGGCTTCTTAAAAACTATACTGACTTGTTCCTTTCATATGCCAAAAGTCTGCATCAGTACCACATGAAACATAAAAAAACCAGGTTAAAATAATGCAAGTAGTCATGAGGTTTAAATTATAAACAATTACAGTAAACTGTAACTAGAACAATTAGATCCCACACTGTATTAGCTGGATCATCCCAAAAGAACTCTCAAGTAGATTTTCCTCTTACCAGCTTACTTAGCTTCAAGCTCAAGACAAAGTTTAGTTGAAGGCTGATTATTCTACCATTACTATAATAGAGCGAAAAGCTTTTTTTTAATAATAAAGCTTTCCCGATAAGGTAACCGGGATCTGTTACTCACATTATACCTCCTTCAGGAACCCCTGCCTAAGAGGTCTGAGCGTGGTTTTTATGTAAGGGTAAGGATTAATTACAGCCACACAGATTTTTTTTTTTTTTAGTAGAATCAGTGCAATGCAGGAAAAAAATTCTTAGAATTCTTTAAGCAATTGAAACGTCGGCCCCTGAACTGTGCCAGGAGACCATGAGTTTGCTGTTGACACTCTCACATGCCTGCAGCGGCAACACAGCCCTCTTCGGACAGCCTCGGGCGCCGCGGCCCAGCCTCCCGCCCGGCGGACACCTCAGCCCGGCAGGAGCGGGAGCGCTGCCCTCGGGCCGGGCCCGGCTCCCCGCGGAGGGAGCGCTGCCGCCGGCTCCGCCTGCCCGGCAGAGCCCGAGCCCCGCAGCGCGCACCGAACGCGGCGGGAAGCGCGAGTGGCGGGAAGCGCCCGCGGCGGCAGCGGCACGGCCGGGCCCGCTCCACGCCTCCGCCGGGGCACAGACGGCACGTGCTCCCCTGCTCCGGGAACCCTCCATGCCTCCCTCCCGGCCCGGCCGCCGCGCCCCACCGCCAGCCCTGCCCCGGCGCTCCCCGGCAGGGCAGGGCCCGGCGGGGCACGCCCGAGCAGCGGCGCCGCCCGGGAGCCGCCGGGAGCGGCCCCACACCAACCTGCGCGCCCGGGCCCCGCTCCGCCGCTCCACAGACCGCGAGTCGGCGCCGCGCAACCCAGCAGCCCCCGCGGCCGCCCGCCCCTCACGCACGCGCCACTTCCGGGGCGGGGGCAGGGGAAGGGCCACGGCGCGGCCCCGCCCCGCGGCGGGAGCGCGCGCGTTGGTGAGGGCCGTGCGCGCCGGGATTGCGCCCGGCCTTTGTGCTCGCCGCTTTTGTGCGCTGGGAACAAAAAGTAACAACTTGCATTTGTACAGTAGTGCTATATTCACATTTATTAATTATTGCAAACATTCACTTAAACACTACAGATGTACGGTGGGCATCTCTAGTGCTACAAACACGGGAATCGCAGAAGTGAAAATTTTGAGCAATAGTATTGACTTCACAATTGATTTCACTGCCACATTACTGAACTTTCTAGTTTATCGGTGAAACAGTAAAAGTGCCTACCATAGTACAGGTCCAATAGCACAATTATTCAGTGTTCACGTTCAGCTGTTTTTAAAAGCATAGCCAAAGATGGCTAAGAGATACCTTGTAGGCTCCCGACCAGAGGTCAGAATCCTGTTCCTCCTGAGTTCATTTTCCTGCCTGTGCCCAAGACCTGACTGCAACACATTTTCTTGGGATGTGCTACATGAGTTAATTTAAAAGGGCATTGTAGGTTATTGTGAAAAATAGCACCAGTTGAAATTTGACCATTAGTCTGAACTTATTCTTCTCTCCAGTTACTCTAATGCATTGAAAATCTCTGAGAAATTAGGATTCAATTGAAGTACTAAGCAGTTCTTTGACTTTTATTTATGCCAGACCAGACCAACAAATGCTTTCCTGACAGGGGAGAACTAAAGGCTTTTTTTCCACTTTGCACATTACACTTAGGCCAAAAAGCAGCATTTGCTTGCCTGCAGGTTGCCCAGGGGCACAAAGCAGAGTCCAGCTTCCTGTGCCTGTGCTCCAGCCCTGGAACTGCACTGTCTTTCACCAACATCAAGCACCTAGTTTGCAAGCAGTTGGCAAGTGGACTGCTTAGGGGTTTGGTTTTGTTAGGCCTCACCTTGTTCTTAGATCCTTTCACTGACTCATGACTGTTGGTGACACGATACAAGTCAGAATGAACCTCAAGGCCAGCCATAAGCAGCTGTTCTATGCTCATGTTTTTCAACAAACATGAAGCTTCATGGGTACATAATTTGCACTGAAAAATTCCATAAACATGTTGAGTTCAATGTGGTTTCATTCAATACAAAGATCACCTTCACGTTCTTGTGATGTTGTCCTTTCAATCTCCACCTGCCCTTGAGCAATTGCCAGCTGTGGAGATTTCCAGGAGAAACAAATTCATTTTATCTCTTGCTCACCTGCTTGGCCCATGCATTTCAAACAACTCGGAGTTCAATTCTCCATCTCTCTTTAGAGTATTTAAACAAGTTATATCGGATCCCTAAATAGATCTCAGTGGGATGGCTAACAAAGCAAAACACTGAACACGCATATACACACACACACAAAAGCTTCTGACACAGTGAGGCAACATATGAAAATATCAAAAAAAGAACCGTACATATACACCACAGAACTTCACATCAAAGCCAGAGCTGAGTGCCACCTGCTACCCGCAGTCAAATGCAAGTCAGAAATAGCATAAAAATGTGAAAGAATTTTTAAAAAAGCCAAAAATGCTTATGATCAAGCAAAGAAATATTATAAACTCAGAGCTTACTGCTTGGAAAAGTCCTTTATTTGTATGTGAGAAATCCAATCAAAGCTAAATTTCTTTTTAGATGGCAGTGTTTGTGTGGGAAGTTCCCACCACACCTTATGGCAGCCCTTAGTTGTCCCTGCCTCTCACACCAATGTCTAACAGCTCTTTCTGCAGAAATTTTATAAACTGGACTGGGGGATCAGTGCTAAAAGAGCCTTCTCTGTTCCCCAAACCATTTCTTCATTTGGATCACCACTGTCAGGCCACAGAGCGTGATCTGTTTTTCTGTAAATCACTTTACAAAAATGCACTTTCTACACAGAATTTGAAGATCTCATATTAAGTTTTGAGAGAAATAATAAATAAATCAATCCTATGGATCACGTTTTTTCTTCATGCATAACATACTTTGTCAAGTTCTTTTAGTTGTTACCTTTGCTCAAGTCATGGTTTAGAAAAGATCAAATGGTATTAAACAAAATAGAAAAGTTTGAATCTCAGGCAGATGTTAATTCTCCAGTTTCTTTCATTTCCTCCTTCCACTCCACACAGGCACGCATCTTGAATTGATATTAAAAAAGCGTTAACACATTAAGGCTTTTCTCTGAACAGCCCTCCCCACACAAAAACACCCAAACTACAAATACCTGTGCATCAGCCAAAGATCCCATTGCAAAGCCTTGCAGAGTCTTTTTTTCCTTTCTCATTGGCAATGTCGAAGGGAGTGTGAAAATGGCAAAGAGAAATGCTCTTTTACTTCTCCTTCAGGAAATCTAGTGCATGCTTTTGGCTTGTGCTCTGGGGCTACTACCAACATTTCTTCCCTCATTCCTAGCCTAAGCTCTTCTTTGCTCTGGCACTTGAAGGTAGAGTTAGAGGCATCCTGTAAATGCCCATTTCTGAATCTGATAACCTAGTTATCCCAGTGATATTGCTCTGTATATACCATAAACTTAGCTTGTGTCAATGGTCCATTTCTACAGCTACCTTCAGAATACAAAGATTTCATCTTAAGGCCAGTAGTCCTTAGAATTGTATTTTGTTTGGCTTTACTCATCTTAGCACCAAGTCATAGTTTCATCCAGTGATTAACAAAAACAAATCCATTTTTCACAGTAGCTCCTATGTTGCTGTACAAAGTATTATAAGAGAGCAATTTGAGAACTTCCGTGACAAAGAATGATTGGACTGAAAAATATATGGAAATCTTGTTACCACATTTATGTTTCTGAGTTGTTTAAAACAAGAACAAATTACATCTAGTTATTAACAATGTGCTCTAAGTGATTGTATTAGACAACCCCTCATGAGGTAATCAGCACTGTTATGAATACTGCATCTGCTGTTTTCTGTAACAGCACAATGTAAATGAAATGCTTACACATTATACACACAGACACAGCCATGTGACCGCATAGCACTGGGAAGATTACCTACTGCTTCCCATTTGTTCAGTTCAGGGTCGTATTTCTCAATGCTCTGCAGGTATGTTCCTTTTGAATAGGAATATCCTCCTGTTACATAGATGCATCCGTTCATAACCACCGTGCCACACTCCATCCTTCTCTCCATCATGTGAGCCATCTGCTTCCACTCATTTTGCTCTGGGTCATAGCAGTCAGTGATTGTGGTCTGTCCACCCACAAAATAGATCTTGTTTTGTAATGTAATTGAACACAATCCATATTCTTCAGAAAGAAAGGAATACAGTACAACTCAGCACAATAACATTAACTTAAACGGCAAGTACATGACAAACATTGGGCACCACTGAGGGCAGCTGAATGTTCTCATTGAGCTTAGGAGACACCTCAGGATTTTCTGCTACACTACAGCACCAGTAGTCAGTGAAAATTGCTTTAAAATCTTACTGTTACCAGATGTAGAACATAGAGAAAACCCTTTTAAAATTAATATAAATAATTTTTGCCAAATGTCAGTGAATAGTTAGGTTTTACAGAAAGTCATATTATTTAATAGAATGTGGACATTCCTTAATTCAGTATTTATACAGTGATTTCTATAGAACAGATACTTGAAGAAGGTCTTCCTTTCCACTTTCTGAGTTTGGAAACAGCCCTTGCTGCCCTACAGGCATTTCTTTTTTGAATGTACAAGTAATCAAATCAAGCTCTGTGTTTGTTAGAGAAATTATTTACCTGGATGTGGGCTTGTGGTGACTATACTCCACTCATTGCTACCTGAATGGTACCTCTGGATTTTATCGTAGGTGCAGCTTCCCCTGTAGCCATAGTGACCTCCAGCGACATAGATGACTTCATGCAGGACACAGGCAGTGGCATTTCCAACTCCTGTTCACAGTGTGAAAGTCAAACATGCATTCAGACTTCACGCAATAACCATGGTCTCTTCCATACATAACTCCATTTCAAATGATTTGTTAATATTTATTAACATTATATGCTTGCAAGTATTTAACTGAATGTGAATACAATACAGATGTATCAAGATATCAACAAAAGTCAATAATGACTAAATAAAACTGCAGTAACCAATATATATTGCACATAATACAGCTACCCAATAGTTCACAGGACTTTTAGGCAGTAAGTAAAGCCACATTGTCTCATTGATTTTGGAATGGGCAATTAGTTTCACTGTTTCACTAAGTTAGAGTTATTAAAAAATCACTTAGATGGCAAGAGCAAAGACAATGGGAGTTGAGATTGTTCAGTGTCTTGGAGTATCTTTTCTGATACTTTTGGTCATTCTTATGATATTACTAATTAAACTATCATATATACAAGGACACAAACAGAATGGAGCCATTTTAACTCCGTCTCTAGGACAACAAAATTAAATAAAGCAAAGGGGGGGGGTTTGAGCATCTTAGTTTCACACTTATAAAAACTGGGCAAAACAACTGCATAGAATATGTAACTCGTAAGATTAGCACAGCATTTCTACTTTTGAAAGAAATTAAAAGAAAATAGTAGCAACGTCTGAGGAAAACATACAAACAATGGAGAAAGTTGTAAAAGCCTGCTTTTTTTCTTTTACATATACATCCAAAAATTTTCTTGTACATAGAAAAATATCATGTTGCATTAACTTACAGTACATTTTCATAACTAATTATAAATATTTGCATTAATTTATAAAAATGTATGATAACATGTATAACTGTAGTATTGTTATTACTGTTACAAAATAATCACAGAATAGTCTGAGTTGGAAGGGACCCAGAAAGATCATCAAATCCAACTCTTAAGTGAATAGCACATACAGGGATCAAACTGGTCACCTTGGCATTATTTAGCACCAGGCTCTGACCAGCTCAGCTCATCTCAGAGTCAATACCCTTTGGTTAGGCTGTGATTCATACATTTTTAGTAGATCACTACTTTGGCTGCTAGAAACAGGTATTAGTACTTT